CACTTTAATTATGACCTCTTTTTATTACAATCTTTGTTATAATTTTTGTGCAGTGTTACCATATATATGTATATAATACATGCATGATTCAATTGATTTGTCCAAGAAAATTAATGTGCCTGGTCCCCCTTTCTGGATCGGGACATCCTTTGGGGGAGTTGTTAGTGTTAGTCACCGCGTCAGTCGCAGTAATTCTCGGAAGTCAGTAATACTAGCCCATCAACCGTAGCAAGGTCAGCAGGCCTTTTCTGTTTATTTTCATAATTTACAGTTTGTTTTCACCTATTTATTATTAAGTCATCACATTTTCAATCTGAAATGAAATTTTGATGTCAAAGTTGTACGCCGCTGTGGTCGCCGTCTTACGGATAAAATGGATGCATTTTTTTTAAAAAGTGGAGCTAGGTTGGCGTATCAGTAGTTACGACGTAGCTGAAGAATGCATTATAACTGAGAATTGACCACAAAACAGTTTTGGAGCATTTGAATAAAGCTGGGTACACAAAAAAGCTCGATATTTGGGTGCCTCACGAGCTCACTGAAAGAAACCTCAAACCTCATGAACCATGTACACATTTGTGATTCTTTATTTTGATGTTATGAAACCGAAAAATCTTTGAAAAAGCTATTAACTGGTGTGAAAAATGGATCACGTACAAGAAGAACGTGCGAAAAAGGTCGTGGTCAAAGGCCGGCTTCACAGACTGGCAAAACCCGGATTAACTTGCAAAGAGCTGTGTGTATGGTGGGGTTGGAAGGGCATTATTCATTAGTTACATACATACAAACAATCATACAGGTGAAACTAATAAAAGCGTGTTAAAAAACATTTGCGTTTGAAATCTTTAACAGTGTAGGTTTACAAAAGGGATGTTCTCGGGAAATTCCGGTACACAATGACACAGAGTTCAGGTTATTCCCAAGATCGACGGAAGCTTTTAATAAATAATAATAATAATGTTATAAATAACATGAGTACCAAATTAATAAATCGGCAATCGTTTCTTACTTTCGGTGCTTTATATACACACATCTAAAAAGTCTAAGCAACACGCATCAGGTACAGAAACTCTATGCTATATTGATTGCTGTTTAATCTAAGCAAAGAAGATTGATTAGTATACAATTTTTTTTTCTCGAAAATGTAATTGGCTTATTTTAAAGAAAACTTTTCGTTTTTTTTATAATAGTATATTTAAGTAAATATATTACAATAGTAAACAATCGTTCAAAAGTTCAAAACCGAACATGTTGCTTAGACTTTTTTAAGTCTATTTTACCGTCAAAACGACAAGACGAGCCTAGAGAAGCGCAAGGGCTTTCTTGAAGAGCTTCTTCGTTTTTACACGACTGCTCAAAAAAAAGAGTGTAATGTATTCAGGGTTCATGTATTATGTATTTATGTACATACATTGAATTCTTTATTCCACCATAACTTCTAAACGCCTCAACTGATTTAGATGCATGTGGTATCGTTAGAATTCTTTCACCATCCCGAGTAACATAGGATACTTAATCTGTTAAAACTTAAATAACAGCAATAACAACATGTCAATTATTTTTGTCTATTTAAAAAAAAGTCTTATTCCTATCTTTTAAGTTTGACTCACTATAACCGTTTTCCTCAAATTAAAGTGGGAAACCGCAGGGCACCTTTAGTTGTGACATAACTGTAATAGTTACACATATGATATTACAGACATTTTTGTAGATATTTATGTCCTCTATAAAACTTTAGTACATCATTTCCTCTATTGTCAATGATTTCCGCAGCGTAAGCGATATAAGGTTATTTTTTGGTATTTTTTCACACCCTGGGTTAATGAAATATTCAATAGCCTATGTTCATCAGGGATGATGTAGGATTTCAAATGTGTAAGATTTTTTAAATCGATCCAGTAGTGGACCACCCCCAACATTTAGGGGGACGAAAAATAGATGTTGTCCGATTCTCAGACCTGCTGAATATGCATATAAAATTTCACGAAAATTGGTCGAGCCGTTTCGGAGGAGTTCAATTACGCACACCGTGACACGAGAATTTCATATATTAGCTAGTAGCATTAATAAACAGATTTACCTGTAAAACGAGATATATACTAGTTATTTTTTTTAAAGTTTATTTATTTAACGGCAGTCGTATTTTTTATTTATTTGAATTTTTTACCGTTATAACTTGCGTTTGGATTATACCAGATCAAAAAAAACTCGGTATAGGTATGTTGTCAATAGCGGACTTATTGAACTCAAATAAAATTATAGCATAGCTCTTATATACTTTAGATTTCATTGACACCTGAAAACCCTGATTTCGTCTCTGACTCACTGATGATCATCAAAATTCTTAGGGTATTTCCAAATGCCTTAGATATCGATGGTATGTAAGCTAGTATTTAGTAGTAGTACATAAACAACGAAAAAAAAACCTGAAAATTTTATCCCAATCCCTTAAACTAGGGGACGGCAGCTTGTATGAGACTTTCGCAATTTTGACGCTAGATGCCACAATATAATGTTGAATAAATAAGCATACGCAATCACGTTATGAAAATAATAATTGTACTTACAATAAAAAGTAAAATGTTATGGAACTTGATTCTAATTTACTTAATTCACCAAGTGCCCTCATTGCATTCTGATTTTGACATTGGTTCATGCCGCTTCCTATGTTAGTGCGATATGTTTGCTAATTAACGCAGTATTTTTTTATAATTATTATCGTGTGTACATCGCGGCTGGAAGGTCAGTGTACTATATCCAAAAATAGGTACGTGGCACTAAATTCGACACATGTACAAATTTATTCGGGTTACAGTTAACCGGGTAAACGTGATGGCGTGGCGCATGCAGATGCGGTTTTTCCATTTTATTTTTCTAATGAATTTTAACAAATTTCTATTACTTGCACTTTCGTAGATTTCTCGTAGGGTTGTTCTCGATCTTTTTCACTCGAATCATTGCATTGTTAATCCATCTGTTGCATCATTAATTTGGGAGGGTTGTTTTAAATTATTATATTATGTTACTACTAAATCAACAATAGTACACACAAAGAGAATACATTAATTACAGTATTACGGGATATAGTAAGGCAACTATATCATTACAGGTGCTGGCAATACTAATAGTACACTAACACTCCCCGACATGCATGCATGAAACCTCCACAGTAGCAATTTTACATACTAAGCCCTAAAATAACAATTGCATGAGTGTCATGGAGCACTCGGTTGGGGCGAAGTTAAAAATATTATATACCACCCACCAATCCGTACTAGACCCGCGTGACGACTCATGGCTCGAGGCCGAATCTATGTATCCTACCTTCTAATCCACACTGGGCCCAGTGCAGAATGAGCCGGGAGCGTCCCAGTCAATCGCCACACTCCCGGTCCATCACTCACCAAACAAAACTTTCAACCAAGTCCACAACCACCGCCGTCAGTGGTCGCCCATCTAGCTACCCTCCCAGCTACCTAGCTAGTTACTGGCTAGCTGGTTGTTACGGTAAATTTTCGCCTAGCCGCCATCTGCGTCTGAAAAGGAACTTCATTCCAATAACTAAAGTACAAAGTCATCTACTAAAGCTTGTTTGTCTAGTCCGCTAAATATGATGATAATAAAAGGACAGACAATCTGTTTCTTAGGTACATAGTTCAAACAGTCCGTTTAAAGATGCCAACGCCGCCGTTAAAATAAAAAATAACATAAAGAAGGTATATAAAGTTCACTACAAGTTTACTAAGTAATAAAAAGTAGCAAAGATATAACTTTAAACACACTTAAAAACTCGATTTAAAAAATAAACGATATCAAAATATTTTCATGTAATATGGAAAGTCTGGAAAACTTTATGGCAAGCGAAACCGTGAGTGTTTCCCTCGATGACAAACGCTTTTTTTTGTATTTTGAATGAAGTTAGTCCAATCTAGAGTGCAAAAAGCGATGATTCTATAACAATGAATTTAATAGCCTCGTTTGTTGTCTACAGGCTGATTCCTATTTGAGACATTGCTCCGATGTATTTCCAATTGTTATTTTATTTTGATTCGTTAGCATTTGTTAAATTGTGGATTTTAATTTAATATAATCAGGAACATATACAGCCATATAATTATAACGTAGGTAGTTAAAAAGGAGGTGAAAAAGTATGTAATTACTCACTCAAATAACAAAGTTTGTCTCACTAAGTTAAATTAATGTGATAGTTCTAGTAAGAATGTATCGTGGTAGTTCTATTCAGTCAACTTCTGTTGCAATATAACATCGGTTGTATGCTTACTGCAATACCCTATACCTAGTCACCCGAAAAAAAAGATTGAATAAGAAGGAACCTATGATGATGATGATGGAAACGGATGGACATATAACAAGTGATGGAAGAAAAAAATACAGTTGTTTTTGTTTTATGCAGATGGAAAAAAGAGTTTTTCATCCGTATCACCATCGTGAATTGAGCTTTATGTAACGTAAAATAGTAATTATTTTATCATACTTCCGAATCGGCAGAGCTCGATGTTGTTCCCAGTCCGTGTCTAACTTTTGCCGAGTGAGGAGAGCGTTAGTCCTCTTCCAATTGTGATCGATATTTAGTGCCCAAATGAAGTTTTTTTTTAATTATTTATATATTATGCAGTTTTATGTTTTGTGATAGCAAACACCGCTATTTTTTTTATGAAAAGATATTGGGTGTAGCTTTTTGTGAGTCATTTTAAAAATAACAACACGAAATTGACTCTTATAGTAAGTTATCATTTAAAAGCTCGAAACAAACATTAATATGTGTTTTATGTTTTTTTATTAATATAATTTAAAAATTTTGAGCACAAATTAACGATTGCGAAATTTTTGTAAAACATTACTTTCTGCTTAAGAAGCATTACCTAATTACAAAAGGCTATATTTTTGTCAACTGTTCGTTTTTTTTATTGAGCAATTATAACATTCTTCTTTAGGTATTATAGTAATATCATAAACAATTTTGAACTGACTGTATAAAGAGTTGCGGAGAGAATGAAGCGATACTCGCAAGATTCTTTCTTCACACGGTCGTCTTCTGTCGAGAGCGTCTCACGCGACGTAGCCCGCACTAACCGCCTATCGCTAGACTCCGGCATCGACGAGGATGGGATCTTGGTGAAGACCAGTGTTGTGTTGGACCTGGAAAATGATATGTCAGAAGACGAGGAGCTCGACAGTTTCGACTTCGAGTGAGTTCGTAGACATTCTTCTTTTTATTAAAGTTGTATATCAACAAGTTACGTTTAATTTTGCCATGTTCGTCCGTCCGTTTGTCCGCAGCTTAGCCCAGAAATTCACTGGAGTCCGTAGATCAGATATTTAATATAGTTTTAAGAAATATGTAATAATGTAATGCACATACTTATACATGATTATTGACAGCGAAGAAGAAAGTAGTAGAAAATAAAAAAGCGGGAAAGAAGCTTTTTTGTTTTTAAGTGTTTATATTAAATTTATTTCTCGCTCAGGTGATATTTTACGAGTTAGATATAATCTGAAAGTAAAATTTTAGTACAAATATTTTGATGTAAAAGTTAGGTATACTTGTGTATCATTTTGAATGGATATACTTAATATTCACACCGAAGAATAAGAAAATTAGTATCTTATAAAGTTGTCAACCCTTGGGGTGAACTATCGCTGGTAGGCCTTTTATGGAATTATAATTTCTGGATATTGTAATAAAATCAGGTATCTAGAACTAATAAACTATCACACAGCTAAGTAGGCTCTACAATTTTAGTTTGGGACCAGCGAAAAAAAAAGTTCCTACATTTTATTCTGAAAATTAGGTATATTAGTAATTAGTTGTGTACAATTTATAATCAATGTATAAATATACAATAGTAAAATATGCATAACCATTGTGAAACAGCAACGAAAGCAGATTGTCACACTCGCTAAAGTAAGAAAGACTGTGAACAAAACAAGAAATTAATAATGTTTTAGGCCGCACTTTTCTCTAAGGTAGGAGTTCCTTACCCAAACGGGACTAGGTAAAATCTCTCTCTTAAACAATCAAAAACAATAAGAATATCAAAATCAAAGATTAAGAAACCAATATTCATTGCAAATTTAAATGCATCAGTTACAAACATATTATTCTGATAAATACGATCTAGTCTATTACTATTATTGTTTGTTTATTTTTAATGTTTTCGTTGTTTTATGAAAATAAAAATGTTGAAAATTTACACCATCAGTTCGCTAAACTTCAACGAAGACCTTGTAGGTTTCTCTTTCCTATAAAAAGACGCTCTATTTCAGCTGTTTGGTTTGTAAGGTTTGCCTATAAATAGTTGAAGAACATTTTTTCAACTATTTATAGGCAAACCTTATCAGAACATATCGACTTGTCGAGATCGTGATTTTTATTTTCTTTATTAGCTTAAAAAGTTCAAGCGTGAATTTGTTAGTGTTTATCATCAGTCATATTCACACTTAATCGAACCTTGTCCTGTGTTTTTGTTCTTTAGAAGCAAAAGTGACAAGTTTCTAGCCTATCGTGGTCCATATTTTCACAAGTATACTTATCTTCCTGTGGCCATAGATTTGCCAAAATTTTGTACCTAATGCCTTAGTTTCTTCTTCCACTTCTACCCAGCATTTGGATTTTAAATGCAACAGAAAACATTTTTTTTTTTTGAAAAAACCATCCAAGTGACAACGTAAACCCCGTTGGCACCTCACAACGGGGTTTCCGTTGTCACTGTTTGGGCAGAGAACCCTGAAAATAGTATTTAAATAAAAGGTGCATACAGTTAAAACTGCATTTTCCAATCAATTTGGTCAGTACCATATCACAGGAATGGGTTAGATTAAGCAAGCATTTATTTATATCTTTGAGATTTGTTAATTTATAAAAAAATACCCAAAATTTTTACTAGAGGAGAAAAAGTTCCTTCAAAATATACATCGAGACACAAGAAAAAACTAACAATTTCAACTGCTCGCCATAAATTATGCTCATCGAGCACTTATAATATGCCTATAACAATCTATACTTATACTTATAATAAATCTGTAGAGATGTCAATTCTGTACATGAAATATATTTTTAAAATAACTATCAGGGGATCATTAGTGATCGATACTGATGCCAAAAATGCAATCAGTAAAATTTTTGTCTGTCTGTCTGTCTGTCTGTGTGTATGTTCCTTATAGAAACAAAAACTACTCAACGGATTTTAACGAAACTTGGTACAATTATTCTTCATACTCCTGGGCAGGTTATAGTATACTTTTCATCACGCTACAATCAATAGCAGCAGAGTAGTAAAGGGAAATGTTGGGAAAACGGGAGAAGTTACTCCATTTTTTAAGCTTCCGTCGCGGGTGCAGCCTTAATGGTTAAAGTTACATAGAAATCATGTATGACGGAAATATTCTACATAAAATTGTCTAAAAAATATTCCGCAACAGCCTATGTATATCTTTTATGGTTGACTCACAATAACACGTGTAATTATATAAATAAAGTCATTCTTTATAGCACAAGCCTGAGAACAAAAACTATAGTTTACACTACAGCTCTACACCGAAGCGAAGCGAGGGCGGGCCACTAGTCTATAATAAATTACTGGAAATTAAAAAAAAATAAGAATATTACAATGTTATAATGTTTTTTTTCTATTTTTTAAGCATTTAAGCATTTAAACATCAAGCAGTTACTGCTTGATGTTTAAATCTAAAGAAATTATAACCAGAAAAAAATTCACGCGGACCAGGCAGCAGACAAGACTCGAACCCTATTCATTTGACATTGTGGGTTACCTACAATGCGAAGAGATGGCGCTGCCTTGCAGCTTAAGAATGGCTAGAGGAATTTCGCGGCCACGCGGTAGCATAATTGGTCAGTGCATTCGCCCGGATAGCGAAGGGTGCGGGTTCGAGTTCCGTCTGCTGCCTGGTCCGCGTGGAATTTTTTCTTGTTATATTTTCTTCAATATTACAATGAATTTATTAAAAAACTAGCTGACCCGGCGAACTTCGAGCCGCCTAACAGTCGATCGTATCAAAGTATTATATAGAAAACAACGAAAAATATGAAATCGGTAAAGTAGTTTTCGAGTAATGGTGTGAACAAGGGAAATAAGGATTCATTTATTTATTTTAGAGAAATAAGTTTTTTATTTATTGTTCAAGATTGAGGACCGTTGTTGGAACCATACAGTGGTTAGCAGAATGGTGGACGTTCAATCTACACTCACTTCAAAATTCAATTCATTCGCTATTTTTCAACATTCAATTCATTCGCAATAAAAACTAATTAAAAAATAACTTGATGTGAAAAATAGACCCATTTTTTCTGAAAGACGGGGTGTTCTAGTTCAGACATAGTTTTACTGAAGATGTTCGACAACCCATAACAGAATGTTTTCTTTTTTCAGTCGAAAGAACACACTTGTGCTACGAACGCAGCTACCAGTCAGGGTTCACGCAATTATTGGTATGTTTTACAGTTTATTTACATTCTTCATAATAGCTGATCGGGCTGACTGTACTTGACGTATTCAAACGATTAGTTTTCTGGTTATTTCTCATAAGTTTTTCAGCAGTGTTTATCCTATGGTTTTTTAGGGTTCCCAGTCAACAAGGAACCCTTATAGTTACTCTACTAGAAAACTGTAATTTGACATGATTGTACATAATAGTAACGACGACAAAGGGGCACAATAAAATATTGAAAATACATATAAATTTTTTAGGAAACCTCACATACATGTTAAAATCGTAAAGTGTCTATCATTTGCTTTTCTAGTATAAAATAAAAATAAAATAAATATTTTAAACACACACCAATTAGCCTAGCCCCAAAGTAAGCACTGTAAAGCTTGTGTTATACTTTGCTAGTGATAGAATACATATATAAGTATATTTATATATGGAAATATATATAAACATCCGTGGCTAAGTTACGAATGCTTGTAATTCATCATACTAACATTTGCCCCCACCGGGATTCGAACCCGACATCTCAAGTAGGCGACACCATGAAACCCGGCGTATATACCACTTGACCTCCTTTGGGTGGGTCTCGAAAAATTTAAAGGATTGTGGAGACAAGTTTGTAACAAAACTTCTCCAAAACGGCTTGAGAGATTCTTATGAAATTTTATATTTATATTCAGTGGGTCTGATAATAGGATGTAAACTATTTTTAATACGTCTTACTAATATGGGTGATCTGCCCCAAAATTGTTATTTTTATTATTTATACTACATTTTTTTTAAATACATACAACCCTATATTTTCAAACAAAAAGCTACCTATAAGTTGCCTATTTTCACTTTGTGATGGGTAACTGTAACTGTGAAACACTATATTTCGCGTAGAAACGACACGCACTTCACATTTTTTAACTAATCTCGCTATACTATGAGCAAGGTTTTTAACTGTAAAAAACTTAACTCTAAAAACTCTTTAACTGTAAAAAATCTAACTAAAAAACTTAACTCTGTAAAAAACTTTTTTCTGCCTATTGATACTGTCATAATAATTTAGGAGAGAAGAAGTAGATTAAGGTAGCTTCATGTGTTTGTCTGTAAGTACTCTTCATTCATATAATAAGATGATATTCACGTACAGTTCTGGCTTTTCCGAAGTGTAAAGTCTTAAATCCTGAGAAAGTTCTCCATAAAAAAAATCATTTTCTGTAACATCATCTCTATTTAAAATGGAAGTAAAGCGCTAATATTTCATGAAAGCTAAAATATGTTTTTCTATAACCATAATTTTAGTTCATTAGAAATATTGTTTTTAAGATTCTAAAAGCGATTCAGTATTTATTTGGGTTCGGTTCGGTTTCGGTAAACTTTTAACAACTTTTAAGTTGTTTACCAAAATACGTTTGTTAATAAATACTTGAAAAAAATACCGTTTGCTTATTTGTGAAGGTCAATTTTAGTAATTTGGAGTATTTGCGTAATTTGGAGTTTTATGATGAATTAACATCGCAGTATCGAAAACAAATATCCAAAATAATACAGATCATATTTACTTATTACTTTTTATTACCTAATATATAAAAACTACCAATTGAACACTGCTGAGGCATAGGTCTTTCCTTTGGATGGAATAGGACTATTGAACCATGACCTACAACGGCTGTAGATGCAGTCAAACCAACGGCTTAGCGTGCCTTCTGAAGCACGTAGGAACCCGGGTTAGTACATTTTTGGTCACACATCCATTGACCGACCTCTGCAAAAGTTGCTTAACTTCAACGATTGCAGCCGAATGCGTTAACCACTTGCGTCATCGAGCTCCTGAGATGTTTACTAAATTCCTTTAATTTTGATGAAATGCCTTCCAGAAAAACTGCTGCATAGCCAGGGGCGAGAGCTGCGCCGGGCGCTGTTCTCGCTCAAACAAATTTTACAATCGGACAAAGACTTAGTCCACGACTTCGTTGCTAATAAGGGACTCGACTGCTTGATGCAAGTTGGGAACATGGAGGATCATAATTACATTGACTATATACTAAGAGCACTTGGACAGGTAGGCATCTAATATTATTCATGTAATTATTATAGTAGAAAATAATTTCTTAATAAAAAATACTGAGGCTATTTAATAGAAAATATTCCACTCGGCTCAGGTTTCAGACAGAATCTGGACCGAGTGGACTTTTTCTAGTAAAAATTTTTCTTTAAAATTGACCTAGTTTTTAAAATTTTATCCTTTTACAGATACTATTATATGTTGACGGCATGCACGGCGTGATGAGTCACAATCGATGTGTCCAATGGCTCTACTCCTTGATCTCAAGCAAATTTAGACACGTTGTCAAAACTGCGCTTAAGCTTCTAGTTATTTTTGTAGAATACACACAAAAGAACTCCCTTCATCTTATTGAGGCTATAAACGCTGTGGATAGCGCTAATGGTAGACCGCCTTGGTATAATATTATGAAGATTCTTCAAGACTTTGATGCCTCTGATACGGAACTGTTGATTTATGCCACAACTCTTATAAACATTTGTTTAAACAATATTCCCGATAGAGACACTTACTATGATCAGGTTGATGTATTACAAGATCAGGGTATGGATGAAATAATCCAGTTATATATGACAAAACAAGGAACAGATCTAGATCTCTTGAGACAACTTCAGGTCTTTGAAGCAGTTCTACTGTATGAAGATGGTGATGAGACAGGAACAGCATTGAAGTAAGTACTTAACTGATAACGAGGATGAATGCAAACGAAAAAGCTAATTAGTAAAAACGAGGACTATAGAGAATAATATTATAATTTTTCAGACAATTGGATGAGTCTGTAGTAAGTTCTGTACGGAGACGCAGCCTAAATTTGAATTCTTCGGAAAGGAGAAAATCTAAAAAGCAGCAATCTAAGGAGAAAGGTACATAACACCTCATACTCTTTTTGATTTTATTGCATTTCCAAGAGTTCGTGTTAATGAACATAAGACAAAAACAGTTTGCAGTTTTAGTTTGCATTAACATTTTTGTACGTATTTTGTTTCATAGGCATGTTTCTGTTGTTAATTTCAATCATACATATACTAAATTACACAATTAAGACAACACTCAACACGAGATTTTTCATTTTACAAATATCATCTCATATTTAAGTTTTCCACTAAAACTAATTAACTTGTGTGCGTTTTACTAACGACCAACAGTGAAATCATCAACTGTCGCTCATACTGAACCAAGGAACAAAATAATAAATAATATAAGACCACAATTACCGCTGGATAACAATAAAGAATTAAAAAAGAACAAAATAAATAATAACAGGCCCCAATTATCACTGGATAACAATAAAGATAATAAAGAATTAAGTTCAGCTTTAAAAAGACGAAGAGACAGGTTTGCAAGGCAGGCACATCATATAATACAACAACAAGAGCTCTTAAATAATTCTAATGAAATTTATGATGGACTATTTGGCAATACAAATGGAAATTATTCACCAATAAAGAACAATGTTACTACTCCAAATACTGATCTCATAAATGGAACATATACAAATAGTAATAATAACTATGTCATGAATATTAATGGGAACAACGACGATGACTTTGGTATTAATGGTGTTAATGGTCACGATGATGGAGATATATACTTGAATAGAACGATGAAGAGCCTAAACTTACCAGATGTTTTAAAAAATGGTTTGTTTATTATTCTAACCCACTAATCTTAAGTTATTCCATTTCCATTTTTGCTTTTTGTAGTATCATGTACTTTTATTGATTATGTACTTACATGCATCCTTTAATGAATTTAGATAAAAATACTAATGAAGACTTAATTAACTTTAATTTAAAGGTAACCAAAAGTACACATCAGGATTAAAACAGCGAATACAGAATGGTACACTCGGTCATAGTGTCAATGCAGTAGATGCTTTAACAGCATCACGTCAAAAGCAAGGTGAAACTACTCCAGAAATCAAAGATGATCGTGGAATTCTGCTCAATAGAGAGCATAGCATTAAGGATTTAGCACAGAGGTTAATAAGCCCTGTTTGCACTATAAACGAAGAAAAACCACTCCGTGTAGCCGAAATGACAGGAATAGTATCGAAAGCCAAAGAAGAATTAGCGAAGTCACAATCCAAGGGTAAGAAATATATATAGCTAGTTATTTAAAATTTTGAAAGTAAATCTGATTATCTGTTTTTTTTTTCCGGATCTTAGTCCGGATGCAGTTAATCCTCTGACGTAATCAGAGACTTTGTTTATGTTTTCCAATTATTTACTATGCCTATGCTGCTAAACCGATTTTAATTTATTTTTGTATGGAAATATAAAATTCCTCGAAGGACTTACATAGTAGTCCAGTCAATGAAGGCTTAACTTTGCCATTTTGAGTTGATCACCTGCAACCAACGCGAAAATTTCCGCAAGGGTTTGTAGATTAATATACTAAAATTGCAGGGTGCTGCATTGACGGCAAAGGGTGAAAAAAAAAATGCGAAATGGTGCAAACACGAGTTTTTCGTCAATATCTCGCGACTGGCTGCAAAAATAGAAAAAGTTTGTAGCACAAAGTTGTAGAAAATTTAATTTCCTACAAAAAAGGTATCAACTTATTTTCGCGTATCTCCCATATTTTTTACACAAAATGCAATTAAAGGTGCAAAATAAAAAAATAAAAAATATTGTTTATGGTTTTTTTTTCCATTTTTAAACGATCGAATCACCAATTACTGAAATATTTAAGGATGAGTTTTCGGCAGTCCACTGAAATGAAAATTGTCTACCGAAATGGTAAAAAATTACCACCGAAATGATACAGCCAAGAACATCGCCTTTGTAGTAGAACGTTACTTTAAAATTTATGCTTCAGCTAAAACCAGTTATCCATGTTTAACCGTCTCTTCCGTACACAGATCGTGCGCTAGCGATTGAGTTGCTCACTTTTATTCATTCATTGTTGAATCGCGCGCTGGGCAACACTGTTATTTTTTTGTTTAATTAATCACTAATAAACATTACTGGGTGAACTATTCTGCGTATTTAGTTTAAAATGATGGCTACTAAGAAAGATGACGAAAAATATAGTTAAAAAAAAATTATATGATAATTTAATTTTACAATTTCTTTTTCTTTCATCGTGTTCAGCGCAAAATTTGGGTTTAAAACATATATTTGCAATATGTATTATCATTATCATATAATAAAATTTAAATATTTTTTTTTGTCAAGATTATTATATGAAAAAAGGAAATAATAAATAAATAAATACCCGAAACATATTAATTAAATCCTAATGAAGCATGTAGGGGTAAACTCCCCGAGCAATAAAAAATACACGGTATTCCTCAGAGCGGCAGTGCAATGTGCTGATTTATGATTTTGTATTTTTTCTTGGTTAAGTAGGTACTTCTCAACCTTGGCAAAAATAATTATTGAGTAATGGGCTCTAAATCCATAAAATAAAAAAATACGAAGTGGCATTTTATCATCACGGTGAACTGTTCTAAACCCAATTCCTTTCGTAAAATTACCACCCTTGTAGTAACTTTTATTTTTTGGATTGAAATTAACTTTTATATCAATCTAATATATATAAATTCTAGTGGTTAAACTCCTCCGAAACGGCTTTTCCGATTCTCATGAAATTTTGTGTGCATATTGGGTAGGTCTGAGAATCGGACAACATCTATTTTTCATCCCCCTAAATATTGAGGGTAATCCACCCCTAAATTTTTTTTTTTCAATTTTAGATATATTTTTTTAATTTTTTTATGATACATCATTCAAAAATACATACAACCCTAAATTTTCACCCTTCTACCACCAACCCCATTGTTTGTTTACCTTCTTTCTTATACATGTAACAAGCACACAACTTTTGTCCTGGAAAAAGTTATCATTTCCATGGACAGTAAGTTTTTGTGAAATAGGTTCGTTAACATTGTTTTGTTGTATTCCGCTTGTCAGTGCTCCCTTCGAGCCAGGCCGCCTTAGGTGGATCACACGCACGCGCAACAACTTCATTGTGGATTCCCGCAAAATAGTAAGCATACCATTTCAGTGATATGGGGACAATTGAGCTAGTTTTATATATGTAAATGTATTTTTATTTTATTTTTATTTATGAATATTATGTTCTATATATATATATCGGTGTGTGTATGTATGTGTACGTGCTGTGTATGAATATATATGCGTATCTGTGGATGTGCGTGCATGTACGAGTATGTATATACAGTTAATGTGCAATTGTCTGACGTGTGCCTAAGATGTAATTTTATAATTTTTCAAAATGTAAATGTCGAAATGTCCTTCTTTTTTTTTTGTTCTTATTTTATTTTTATTATTAAGTATTCTTTTATAATGATGTCGATTATGGCGTGATTCTCTAGGGCTAGTCTTGGGTTTGACAGCGGTGCATTCCTGTCATTCTCTATACAGAATGAAGGGGAGGGACTGGTGTTGAATTTGGTTTTGGGTTCGGAGAGTCACGCCAGAATCGATACCAAGTATTTATGTTATTTTGTTTACTATAGCGCCTAACACGCCCTCAAACAGGCCCTGCCAGAATACCAGCGCTGATACAGTGAGAGAATATTTTCTCATTGTATCAGCATAAGCTGAGGCAGGGTCCTGATTGGCCATTTTAAATGTAATGATTAATTTTTGTTCTTAGGTTCAGTTTCTTTTTTATATATTTTTTTCCTGTTCCTTATACCATTTCATTTCATTTTATTCGATGAACTGTAATGCCGATAAGAGTCCAGGGAATGAAAGTATCGCCGATATGATACATCCATAAGTTTTTAGAGATCCTTGAGTCAATATAGGTATATTAAATAATTTCGGTTTGTGATGTACGTTTACCGAGAAACTGTAGGTTCGATATTTCGGATGCAGTAGTATTTCAATCTAAAATTTCTAGTTTAAAAATGTATATTAAAGTTAAAGCGGATGAAGTTATTGGCGGCCGATAGTATTTCTATATAAAAAACTTGACTTGACTCGCTTGCACATGATGAGTCATCAAAAATGGTTTCTGAAGGCAAACGATCAGATTGGCTTATTTCTGTAGCCAAAGTTCTGCATAATCCATGGTACTCCTCAGATATGACACCTTTGTAGCAAAAATCAAAAAAAAATCTTTGCTATAGATTTTCTTTTATAAATAGGCTCAAGAAATGACTCCACCAGCGGTTAGATGACGGAGGAGTCTAGACGCGAAGATAGCTGGTACAGCAGTATTACTTGCCACACCAGCTATCCTCATTTTGCCGGCCTGCAGAATTGCTACTTCACACACGTAAGAGGGCAAAGTAATCCATTTGCGGATAGTCTGACAAAGAAATGAGTTACCAAATTTCTTTGTTCACGTTGGAACAGTGGGAATAGTAGTTCACAGTAAGTCAGTGGCAACGTAAGCCAGCGCGTGTAGACTTCTGTAGGAAAGAGGAAGGTAGGTTAAGAGACAAATACCTCCTCAAAACATGCGCCAAGGTATAGTCGATAAAACGCGCTTAATATCGCTACATCACGGCGTAATTGACGAGGCTCGAGGTGTTTAGTCACCTCCTTATCGACAATAATGCGGATCGCGCGCCGCTGTAACCTATCCAAAGCATCACCGTGCTTACGTCATGTACAACAAGCACACTTGCTCAGGCGTGAAAAAACGTTAGTTTACCATGAAAGTGCAGACCTGGGCTTTCTTGGCAATGAACTCAACCAAGTTCTTGGTACCGCATTCCGAAATGCAGTCCAAATCTTTATTGAATTCAATGACAAGATTCTCCCGTTTCTCTTTGGTTTCTACCTGTCCAACGGCTGCGTATCCAAAATATCCCGCATGCACTGTATTATCGTCTGCATAGCAATGAATATTCTCAAGAGGAATTAAATCATTGAATGCAGCAAAAAGAGTGTAGGGGATAGGACGGAGTCCTGAGAAACACCGGCATTCACTGACATGAACTGCGAACTACATCCGTCGCCGTCCGTTGATGTTCATGCAGGAAGTCAGCCACTCAGGCACAGAACTGAGTAGGCAGACCGTATCCAGGAAGCTTGGAGAGAAGACTTATGTGCCAGACCCTATCAAAGCCTTGGTGATGTTAAGGCTGATAGCCAAAAACTCACCTCGCTTATCGATAGCCTCACCCCAGATATATGTCACGTACGCTAGAAGGTCACCTGTCGATCGATTTGATCTATCCTCTTTTACTTGCCTCAAATATAACGCAAACATATTATATATATTTTTTTGCAAAAAGCGACAGATTTGTTAGTTTTTACTTCATCTAGTAAAATTAAAATATCTGGTAAAATTCAAACAGTCAAGTCAAAGCCAATTACAGGATACTCACAGGATATTTTAAGTGTCTACATGAAAAATGAGTTTAAATCCGAAACTTGGTTTCAACAATTAATACGTTTACAAATTTAAGTGTTTTGAATGGGTTTATTAGGTTTTAAATCAAGAATTTTGGAAATAATTTGCAGTTATTTTGTTTATTCATTAGCTATTTTAGGAAATATGCGTCGTAGAGCATAATGGGTTTTACCTGTAGATGCGGCTTAATGAGACGGGTCGATTGGTATTATAAAATTTCAGTAGCGGAAAAGTGCAGATAATCGGTTTTGGCACTAAGGGGACGATTTACTAATAATAAACTTCTCGCTTTCTAAACGTGCTTTGTTCGTTATTTTGAAAATGTATATATTAATAATTATAATTAGTAATAATATTTAATAGGAGTAACAATTAATTAATTCTTCATTAATAATTCTTATTAAAAAATAATGAACAAAAATATTTACAAAGAATAAAGACATTTATTTAAATTCAAAATAGGAAACCCTTCTACTACAAAGGCGATGTTCTTGGCTGTATCATTTCGGTGGTATTTTTTTACCATTTCGGTAGACAATTTTCATTTCAGTGGACTGCCGAAAACTCATCCTTAAATATTTCAGTAATTGGTGATTGTTGAATTTGCCCCGTAGGATCGTTTAAAAATGGAAAAAGAAACCATAAACAATATTTTTTTTTTTTTATTTGCACCTTTAATTGCATTTTGTGTAAAAACTATGGGAGATACGCGAAAATAAGTTGATACTTTTTTTGTAGGAAATTAAATTTTCTACAACTTTGTGCTACAAACTTTTTCTATTTTTGCAGCCAGTCGCGAGATATTGACGAAAAACTCGTGTTTGCACCATTTCGCATTTTTTTTTCACTCTTTGCCGTCATGCAGCACCCTGCAATTTTAGTATATTATTCTACGAACCCTTGCGGAAATTTTCGCGTTGGTTGCAGGTGATCAACTCAAAATGGCAAAGTTAAGCCTTCATTGACTGGACTATAGGCTAGTTTTGTACAAGAAAAAACTTGAAGCGGATAGAATAGAGAACGAATGTTTGTTATCAAATCAATTATTCTGCGTAATCCCTTACGACAAACGGGAAACAATAAATATCCGATACTGAAAAATCAAAACTTGATGACAACATACCTTAATATTTCTTTTTGTTTATATTGCAGAAGTGATAAAGAGTCCTAGTATAGAAAAATCACCTAAAATTAGTGAAATAAAGATTTCTGAAAACGATCTCCAATGGGAAGAATTAAGACAAGGTTGTCTTAATAGAGAATTCCATTTATGTGATCTTGACTTTTCGGATTTGCGACATGATTCAGATGATGACATGATGTCACCAGTTCTTAACGATGGCAATATACCGCCACCCCCGCCACCTGGGATGTTCTTACCCTCAGTTTGTAATCCTCCGCCACCGCCTCCACCTGGGATGTTCCTACCTACAATTTGTAATCTTCGGCCATTTCCAGATGTTTACAATAACGGTCCAAGAAATAATATCCCTGTTCCACCACCAAAACCATCCCTTTCATCAGAACTCTCCTATACCTCTGATAGCTCAACAATAAAGAAAAATAAAAAAACAGTAAAGTTGTTTTGGCGCGAGGTACAGGAAAATCCAGCCCCAGTCACAATGATGTCAAAAATTGGAGGTTTTATTTGGGATGATCTCCCCGAGGTTACGTTAGATACCAAAACCCTTGAACATTTGTTTGAGTCGAGAACTAATGATCTTATCATAAAGGTAGGAACAAACTTAATCACTATCAATTTTTGTTTTTTATCATTTATTCTATATCATTTTTATTTACTTTATTTTTTGTTTCATGTACCTTTATTCTATGTGGTGATCTGGAATTATATTACTTTTATTTTATTTCAAAAGGAAGTGAGTATTATTTTAATACTAGATTTTTGTTTTCATTTATATATTTTTGTGTGCTTTATTTATTTTGTTTCGTAGAAACTAATGGAACCAAAACGTAATTTGATTTTGGATACTAAACGATCAAACGCAATAAATATAGCCATGAAAAAGTTGCCAACACCACAGACTATAAAAGCTGCAATAATGAAAATGGATGCAACAGTAGTGGGTAGAGAGGGAATAGAGAAGCTTCTGACAATGCTACCGACGGAAGACGAAAAAATTAAAATTCAGGAAGCACAGGTAATAATTTCTTCCCAAATAAGATAACAGGCACACAATAATAAATTGTTTCGTTATCAACATATTTTTTTATTTTTTCAGTATGCTAATCCTGATTTGCCCCTTGGTAGTGCAGAGCAGTTCCTACTGACATTAGCTTCTATAAATGAGTTGTCATCTCGCTTAAAACTATGGGTTTTCAAACTGGATTTTGATAATTCTGAAGTAAGAGAACTTATAAATTATGTTTATGTTATTTGCCAATAAAGTAAAAACTTTCACAAAATTTTATATGATATCTTGCAGAAAGAAATCGCTGAACCACTTATGGACTTAAAACAAGGTATTGAACATATGAAAGTTAATAAAACATTCAAAGTAATTCTTGCAACCTTAAGGTCAGTTGGGAGTTTTCTCAATGGGAGTCAAGTTAAAGGTTTTCGCTTGGAATATTTGGCAAAAGTGATGGAGGTTAAGGACACTGTTCATAAACATCCATTGCTGCATCATATCTGTGAAATGATCATACAAAAATTCCCTGATACTTCAGATTTATTCAGCGAGGTGAGTATATTTTGTAAAATAAAAATCATATAAGAAAAATCCCTAAAATACCTATATCTTTTGAATGCTAAATTATTTAAGGTACAGGTTTTATTATAAAGGAGTCTTTTCACTTAAAAATTAGCCTAACTTTATTTATGTATCCCGATTTATGGTAAATAATTAAAACATTTATTTATTTTATTGAAGTTATACTTCTTTAGGCGCGTTATGAAAAAATGATGAGAGTGAAATTTTAAGATGCGCGCGCATCACTATAACACAAAAAATTAACAGCATGAAGTTACTTTTGTGTTTACCGCACATTAAGAAAATCTACCAACAAAATAGAAATAGAATCTCTATTTAGTTGGTGCTAACGACTGCATTGTGAAGGCCTATCAAAAGTATTTATTAATCTGGAACAACGGAACCAAAGCGCGATTCAGGAGACTACAGCGCCATCTCTTGACCATTGGTGTAGTAGAACCAAAAACCACATCTTTATTGTTTGTAATAAAGTAACAGTTATAGGTATTCATATTTATAATATTTATCCACATGTTTCTAGTTTGTATATATATTCGGAATACGTGTTTGAATTTCATACAAGTGCAAATCACATATGTTCTAATAAATTATATTCAGTAGCGATTTTAATTGAATATTTTGATTATTTATTTATTTTTTCAAATTAAAACTGAACTTTATTGACTGTGTCCTTTTCCAGACTTTTTATTAATTTATTGTAATTAATTATTTGCATGCAATTAAAAACTAATTTTAAACGATGCCAAAGAAGGATAACTTCTCACGCGCCTACATAAGTACACGCACCCATTTTTTATTATTTCAGGTCGGTCCAGTGATAAGAGCATCAAAAGTGGACTTCGATGTACTTAGCACAAATCTCCTAAAACTTGAATCCGATTGCAAAGCGTCTTGGGATCACATGAAAAGGATTGCTAAGCACGACGGATCTCAGATTTTCAAAACTAAAATTAACGAGTTCCTCACTGAAGCTGCGGAAAGAATAATTCTATTAACAATAATAAAAAAAAGAGTGATGAGCAGGTAATACTTACATGATTTATTTATTTTTTCTAGGAAATATATCGACGTTAACTCTTACTATAACAGCACAGCGAATGTAATTTATAAATATGACTTTATTTCATTTACCAACAAGGAACTCTGCAAATGCGAATTTTAATATCTAATATGTTATGTTATGTTATGTTATGTTATGTTATGTTATGTTATGTTATGTTATGTTATGTTATGTTATGTTATGTTATGTTATGTTATGTTATGTTATGTTATGTTATGTTATGTTATGTTATGTTATGTTATGTTATGTTATGTTATGTTATGTTATGTTATGTTATGTTATGTTATGTTATGTTCTGTTATGTTATGTTATGTTATGATATGTTATTTTATATGTTAAAGGTACACCAAATTTCTATTATATCTCGGAGTTCCCCCCGGAGATATACCAAAAACAAAGCCTTCTGACTTCCTAAAAGTAATAGCAGAGTTTGCTTTGGAATATCGCACTACCAGGGAGAGGGTGTTGCAGCAATTAGAAAAACGAGCAAATCACAGAGAGCGAAATAAAACAAGGGGTAAAATGATCATCGACGTCAGTTCAGTAAGTGTTTAGTTTCTTATATTCAATGTTCATCATCGCCATTGGATATTTTTTTTATAATTTTGTTTGCACACTTCAGATTGGAAACTACACGAATAAAATAGAGGACTATTCAGCTGACATTGCATTAAAAGAACTCTTAAAAAGTGATCCAGATAGCAACAGTCTTACTAAGAGCAGACGAAAACCAACCAATCACAGGAGAGTCCCAGTAAAGTAAGTTTTTGTTTTATACATGACTTGATATTTTAGCTAAAAGTGTGTATTAAATATTAAAAGTAAATAAAAAAAATGGTCACCTAAAAATACAATTGGTAACCTAAAGGTATAAAAGGTTAGGTTACTGATTGTATTTTCTGATGATCATTTCATAAACATAAAATATGTGAAGTACTCTTATTACGAGTTAAAGCTCACGAAAACTATCAGAGTTTTCATAATTGTAAATTATAAATTATGTTTCTATGTCCATTTTGGTGAAAAGTGACCAAATATACTTAAAATTTAAGAAGACGTTAATGATTTAATGATAGAATTTAAACACTGTTTATTTGTACTGTAACGAAAACAATAAAATCAGTACCCTTAGTACGAATGCGAGCTCACGAAAACTATCATAGTTTTCGTAATTGTGAAACTCGTATTAAGGTTACACGCCGCGGCTCGTAAGTCTAACGCTGAACTAAACGCGGAGGGAATAGCCAATCGGCGCAACGCACACCCACCCGCGCACCTCGTTACCCTCCAAAACATCTTAATTTTTACTTCTGCACAATAACGGTTAGCGCTAGAGTTTCGTGCCGCGTCTTATACCTACCTAAATAAACTATAAAGATATTATTTTTTCAGTGGAGAGTTATTAACAGCAGATGATGAAATCATAGAAAGCATAGTGAGATCTGCCACGTCCAAGAGAAAGCCAATCATCGCACGCGAGAGAAGAAGAAACCGTTTGGCTGATAAAAAAAATTATTGTAAGTTCATATTTCATTTTTTAGCGTTCCGCACCTCGAAGGCGAAAAACGGAACCCTTATAGCATACCCATTACAGGGTTACTTCCCGTGAACTCAGAATCTTGAAATTTAATACGAAGCAATGTCTTATAGCACGGATAAAGGAAAAATTGCGAAAACTGTAAATATGCCTAAAGGTTTATACGGAGCCCTCGGTGCATGAGTCCGACTCGCACTTGGCCAGTTTTTTACTAATGTAAGCAAATGCGAATGTTAAAACATGGTTAAGGAATAGTGTAATCCATTACTCATTTATTACACTTATCTCACCGGAAAATTTATGTGCTTATAATATTTTTAATAATTCAAATCAGCCTACAGAACCAAGTCTCTATACCGTACAACCAAACTCAGAAAAAAACAAACTTAATTTAATGCTTCATTAAATTACGTGTTTCTCATTCTTTTGGAGGACGTGGTAAAATCCGAAATCTTTGCTTCTCGCTATACCTATTTAAATAAATATAATTAAAAATATGAAATATAAATAGACTTTTCTTCTTTCATATCTGCTTTTATTACTTTTATTTTTTTTCACTGAAGTTGATGCAACTTTTCGTAGTTAGTTGCATCAACTTCAGTCATAAAAGTTAAACGCAATCGGTGGTAATATTCACCAATTGCGTCTTTTCCCCTTTGCATCTTAAGGCATTTTAATTGTGTGTTTTTATTAAGCTACATTGTACTATGCGTGAATTGCAATGCGAAGATTTTTCAGCCAATATGGCTGAAAAGCAGCTGCATCATTGGCAATGTGTGTTTATATAAATGTGTTAATTTATTTACAAATAGTCAAATAATTTACGTGGTTATGGATTATAAATCTAAACGCAAATTTAAGCATTTTTTGACCAAGTCACTGTTTATGTTTTTAATCAAAATGTTTATTATATTATATATATTAAGTAGGCATATAATATAGCATACGTACCTACCTAATAATTAGTATTTTCTTCTCATATAGCCATTTTGGGGATTTTACGTAACAGATTCGACAAATAGTGTCGACACTATATTTTTTTCGAACACAATATAAAAAACTGATCGTCGTTCCGTTATTATCTGGTCATATCGACTAAAATGGGGAAGATCTCGACACAGAAACAGGTTTCTAATTTACGTCACCGTGTTTAAACAAGTATAGAGGTCAACTTCCATCACATAATGTAAAAAAGGTTACAATAAATATAAAAAAAAGCCCAGAAATAAAATACATGAATAAGTTTAAAATAAGACACTACTATGTGCAAGGTTCTCTTCAATGCCCCTGTCGAGGAGAAAAGTTTAATATAACTTTGAAATTTTTCTGAAGGTAACAATTACGACCAGGAGGTTTTATCATTCAAATATTGTTTAACAGTATAATATCCTTTCTTAAGCAAGCAATTTTTAATGTATGTTTTAAATTCATTTAGAGGCAAATCAGGAATATCACTAGGAATCTTATTATTGAAATGTATACCTTGAACCATAAATGATCCATGAACTTTATGTAACCTGTACAATGGTAACTTAAGTTTGCTTTTATTCCTAGTATTAAAGTATCTACGTCACTGTGTTTGAGATATAAATTAATATTGTTTCGAACAAAGAGTAGTGTGTAGGTAAATTGGGAAGGAACAGTCAAAATCGATTTCTTTATAATTTTCTTTGAGAGCTTGTCTTGAGCTTAGTTGATATATAGCTCTTACAGCACGTTTTTTGTAAAATATTGTTTCGCTATCCACTGCTGTTCCCCAGAAAATAATGCAATAAGATACAAAACTGTGAAAGTAACTAAAGTATACAGTCCTAGCAGTATCTACATCAGAAAGTTGCCTCATCTTTCGTTTGGCATACGAAGTAAGTTTACCAGCTAAAAGTGAAATATGCCGCAGCCGCTGATGTAAGTTTACCAGCTAAAAGTGAAATATGAGGATTCCATACCTAAGAATAACGTTGATTCGACTAAATCTAGCTTTTCATTGTTTAATTTAATTTCAACTGGTTCTTTCTAACATTTGGTAAATCGAATTTTATGCATTTAGTTTTATTGGCATTAAGTATTAAAATATTTACATTTGTTTAATGTATTAGTGCCATAACTGTGAAAGAACATCATTTACATCGTCATAGTTATTCTTGGACCTGTCAACCTTAAATAATAAAGATAAATCATCAGCAAACAATACAACCACACAGAATTACTCCACAAAAAATGGCAAATCGTTTTTATACATTAAAAATAGGAACGGACCCAAAATAGAACCCTGGGAAACGCCCATTAACACATGAGATCCAGATGACTTGACAACATTTACCTCTACAGTCTGAACTGAGATACAACAGTAGCAACTCATGGGCTGCGCCTTTGTCTC